GATGCTGGGAATCATGACAACTACTATGGCAGACGACTTCGGACTAGGTGCGTTCTACATGGTCTCTCTGGAAACAAGACCAAGTTGCGACAACAAGGTCAACCCACTTCTATCAATCGAAAGGAGACTGTGACCACACCAGAGGCCACAACATCTTGGTCTTCATATATTCAATGACCATATTAACTTCATACAAATCAGATTGGAATTCATTGACCGATTATCATCAACATTTGTACCAAGCGACCGAAGATCTCCACATCTAAAAAGATGCAATCAATGTTTCAAAAGTAATTTCTCAATTACTCCCCCCCATCCAGCAAAACGTATAGAGACTCAGACGATTATGAGGCCACCCACTGAATTTGACGAGTAGAGATTCTGGAAAATTCAACGTAATTATTCCATTCAAAAGTAAATTGTATGGTTCTGCTGTATGGGTCATGAAGTGTAGAACATGCATGTGTTAGAACCTTCTTAGCCAGTTTGCAAACAGGTACAAAAGTATAGAGATTGCTCAATGGACATAATTTGTTCAAGTTCTTTATGGTTGGCTAGTTCTTAATAAAAGCAATCCATTTCAGAGTTCCAACAATCCAGGCGAATTATCCTCCCGCCCAACCTGAACTAGACATCTCACTTGGGAAGAAGAGGGATAAATGAGCCTTTCTATGATGACTCCTGGTTAATTGAAGGCTTCTGTTGACGTCGTTTCAGAATGCAGCGACATCATTTGTCGGATCAAGTGGATGATTTTCTGACGAAGAAGCGGAAACCTAGTATCGTCGATGTATATCGGTACATTGATGCCCCGCCCCTCGTAAGAGCTGTGCAAATGACACTCAACCTCCCGGACCAAAAGGTCCGAGGGGCAAATTCAGAATATACACAACCAGCTTTCAGGGGGTATATCTTCAGCAGTGTCATTGAAGTTAATTGAACACATTGCTAGTGAGATTCACATTATGCAAATGTATCTACTTTGGACATATCTGGCCCATTACACTATCTTTGAGGACGCGTAAATCAGGGAAATTCTGGAAATTTCTCATACTATCGATGGGGAGTAGCTCTTCTCAATCATTTGTCCAGTTCTAAATTTGAGGTTTCCCATGATCTTCATATTAAGTCTTTCTGCAGACGTAAAGTGTAGCGGGCAGGTGTCAGCAGAAAACTGGCAAGCTTTACTGGGGCCTGTCCGTTTCCTCTTACAAAGGATTTATGACTTTACATGTGTCGTTAACGTGACAGTTACGATTTAAGAGGAAAAAATGCAAGTTATGAACAGGATCACCTGATTAAAAAGTGCAAAAAGGATAATAAAATTTTAATAATCTTTCTCAGCTGGAGAAACGAGTGAGTGTGAGAAACAAGCCCGAGGATGAACATAACCAAGGCATCGCGCAGGATTATGTGAGAAGGATGAAGAAGAGCAAACTGTGGAATCGTAGTGTGCGATTAAAAAGCTTGGTTGGAGTCTTTTGGCCTTTTGGGCTCAAGTATTCTAAACCTCACTGGAAGGGAGGATGGGGTATGCATTCCACTACTCATGAATACGATGACAATAGCGCCTGAGGCCTTGGACATAGGCACATAATACAGGCAAATTGAATGCTCAGGTATGATGATCACGGACGAGGATTAAGCTCAATTCGTCCCTCCCAAATCTCACATTTTATTCACACTTTAGTGAGTTTTTCATTGTGTAGGTGTATTGGCAAACTGAGATCTGTATGCGAGAGTATAGGTGAACACGCCTGTGCAGCCACACATAAAAGTGTGAATCTCTGTTTATTTATTAAAGTTGTCATAGGCGATATTGTGTGCGTGTGTCTACATATGTTTGTGTGTGTGTGTTTGTGCATGGAGCTCTAAATAGGACTCAAGGACTCATGGCTAGAACGGGTTTCTTGATTGACGGTCAATGCAAAGTCGGGGGGGTCGTGAGTGTGATGATTGGAATATGCTTGTCAGTGGTGGAGAAGGGTGCTGGGGTACCGAAACTGCTTCGGTCTGAATGGCGCCGGGGCACAATGTAGATGGCATATTTTATGAAAGATGATGGCTCTCCCTGCTCTTCTTTTTCGTGAGATCAGACATGGGAAAAGCGAGAACTACATCGTGCTTCAGGGTCAGAACTAAGCAAACTTTGATAGGGGAGTAGGCGAAAGAACACAGATCCTAGATGTCCGCATTCGAATATCGCTTGATCATAAAAGCAACCTCAACTAAACAGTTCTGCCTGGACGATTCCATTGGATCGTTTCTGTCTTATGCCCAACGGATCACTGCAAATGTAATACAATTTTTATAAAATAGTGTTGGGTCGCTAGGGTGTGAAACGAAAATGAGTTGTTTTGACGCGTCTGATCAGCTACCACTGCACGCCCTCATCCATGGCTGCACAAAACGACCACCAAATAAAATCACATCAAAATAATTATTCCCACCACCAAGACAGAATGATTATTCGGTTGATAATAGCTTATGGCTCCTTCATGACAGATTTGGCATGACAATGTGTAACCCTTGATACTTTGAAATGGCCTAACAAGATGCAAGAAAGTATGATAATTTTTCGAGGCTACAAGTAGATCTGTTATAAAAGCTGTATTCACCATATTTCGTTTGAGGTGATGAAAGACTAGTAGTTAAAACCTTTTCCTCTGTTAGCCTCTAACTCTTCCCCTACTTTTTTTGTAGAATTGTCGATGAAGCAAACGTATGTTTTGCTATAAAAATCGACTACTATACTTTATTTATGTCCTCCCTTATTCATGAGCCCATTCTTCCAATGAAGTCATTAAAGTTAGGCTATCTATTTTCGAATTAGGTATTGTTTTTCATGACTACCAGTAAATCAGTTATAAGATGTATTCACCCAATTTCGTTTAAGGTGATGAAGGACTGGTAGAAGTACAATTTTCCCACAATGATATGAGTGGAGCTGACGTTTCCATTGAATGTTTACATAGCTTTGCTTTCCC